GACAATTACAAACTCCCTCAAGTTAATCCAACATTAACTATATGTCATCCAGGTTAACTTCTTCCATTATATACAATGAAAATTTGATTTGAGTATTAGCCCTTGTCCCTAACTGTTACCGGCAACAGAATTGAGAAGTGTCTTAGTTTGAAACAAATCAACGGTACACATACATTGCCCTGTTTAGGATACAAGATACGCGAAAACCACTTGGTAAGCTAATTTTTGTAACTTAATTGTTGAGATTGAAATTCCCCAGTTTTGCGCCGATAGCGTCCACTATTACTCTCAGTTTGCATTTCCCACCTGGAAGGACCTTAGGAGTCATTGGTTCGTCTTCTCTTTTAGTATGCTATTATGTGACGCTTTCCAAGGACATTTTTGTATTGTACATATTATGCATAAGTTTGGTGCTTGTTATTTATTTTTTGGGGCTGCTTATGAAGTTATATATTTTTCCGTCTGAATCTGGCCTTCCTCCTCTGATTGGCAGGGCTGGAGAACAAAGGAATAGCTTAGCTTCGTCCTATTATTGCGTTGCTAGTTTTCGTTCTGTTTGCCGGTTCATGGTCGTGAACATAGAATGCTCCTAGATGAGATTAAAGACAATAAAATTTTAAAAAGCATGATACACTTAGACAAGTGAACGGATACATAACACTACACACTTTTCAACCTCGATCAATTTACAATTTAAATGTCATCTTAAACTAATTATATTAGTGAATTATTGTTTTCTTTAAAAAAATATCGTTATCATGGTTAGTCATGACTTCTTACTACTAAACATTTCGAAATTCTATCATGAATGCAATCATTTGCTATTTCTGGCTTAAATATCACGAAAACTAAAAGACAAATTAACAACAGTATTACAATTACAGAATACATACACTTCAGAAATACGAAAAAAAAAGATATTCATACAATTTTAGACTTCTAGTAACCGAAATTGTACAGAGTTTTTTCGATATACGTAGTTTTAACTAAAGAAAATCGAAAATACTCGTTTGAATCAGTAAAGTTGACTAGCAAATTTCAAACGTCTATCAACGTACTAGTCTAGTGTTTATTAGTATAATAAGCCTTTAACTAAAAGTAACCGATCATAATCAATATAGAAAAATACTGGAACTAAAGACTTGAAGTAGATGTACCATTGTGAACGATTCTTATTCATATCGCACAAAGGCTTCAAACATTGGTTATAGTTATCAGGTCGATTCCAACCACGTGGTCCACACCTAACAGCTTGGTTCAGATTAACAGTCAATAACTTCATGGATTGATGTCACATTTTGGTTTAAATAGTCCTAGCTTTTTACTCGATCTTACACCAGCCGAAATCACCAGTTGAAGTAGGCATTGACTATGCTTGCTCAACACATGTTTCAACAAACTCGGTCGATGAAAATTCAAAACCACACTAACTGATTTGTTATTTTTCCCCAGTACACTGAGTCTAGCCTCAACACTAGGCATTCGATGATTCCAGTATACTCTAGAGCTGTCAAGACACATATTACTGAGCCTATGTACAAGGTAATTGCTCACTATATGAGAAGCTCAAGATAACTTTCATTTTGTTTCATCAATCTATCACCACACACTAAATGTCAAGTAAGTAAACCTACCATAATCAGAAACGTTCATTTATTCACTGATGTACTGGAATTATTAAAAGGAACTATATGGTAATTCATACCTTATCAATCATACACCGTTAATTATAATGTTGGTACTACTCACAATAATTATAAATCTACTTAATCGAACAGATTATAGGTGATTAACAAAGGTGATGCGACATAAATACCATATTCTTTCAGTTAATTTGTTGTTTCGCATAGATATGTAGACTAATAATATCTGTCAATCATACAACCAAATACTAGAAGTTTATGAATTGAAGTGGTAACCACCGTCATTTTCACCAACTTTAAGTAATGCTTAAATATTATTACTTAAGTTCCAGGTCAATAAGTTAAGTGGCAAAAAGTAGGCTGCATGTGACCCCATATTAAATGCTAGTTATCGTTTATCATCTTTACTTCAAGTAGGAGTAGACGATGATAACTTTGGAAACTAAATCATTACGAAAGAAACCAATTATCTCATGTACTTATATTCCTTTTGTATGTTTATTCGTTTCGCTTTTAAATCATATCCTGCTTATTCTTCATTAGCTGTATAATATATTTGGTCTTTCGGATACGTTAACAAACCACCTATTAGGCTGGACTATTTTTTCACAAAACGTTTAAATACTGAAGTATATACAGTAGTATGTCTAATACGAACTATTTTAGATTGTGCATAGGTGAGAAATATTTATTCATATTATATGCTCTATAAGACATCAATACTAGTGGCAAATAAATTTCATAAATCTTTCTTGATTTAATGTGAGTTAGAGCAGTAGCCAAATGATTAGGTAGGGGTATAATCAAACACATAAACATTGGTACAAGGAGACATCAAAGATATATGCGCCACACTTCATCATTTGGTTTGTGTGACGGCTGTGATACTGTCCGGGTGTCCAAACCAAGGCAGATGATTTTCTGAGGGGTCCACACTATAAACCTCCGATCTAGAGGTCTAATCCAAAAGGTAGTGGAGCGACATCAGGAGATGCAGTCACATGGTAGTCGGTGACCAACGATTGGTTCATATACCATTTGTTCCCTCAGAATCCTGGATCCCATGTGCACTAATTGGTTTGGAATCAGGGTTTTCCAACTTCGCTAGATTGATCCTCCGAATCCACCAACCCGGTTGAAATACCAGACATTTGCTTCTCGCCTTCTTGGTTTAGTGAATAACAACTTCGCCACGAGAAGGCAGTGAGTATAACTTCCCTGGTAGTTCAATACAATGGAATCCTTAATAACGTAAACGAAATAGATTCTACTTATGCCGCATATGCTCTGTCGACAAATCCCGTTAGTAAGAACTCAGATATTAGAAGTCGAATACGAGTGTCTCGGATGTTTAGATTCCATGCATTCATTGCGGCAGAGAGACAAAGTGATGGGGAATAGAAACAACAAATGAGCCTATTCAAAGTACTACTCATTATAAACGTCAATATAACTCAGAATAGGTGATTCATAATGCGACGAAAACACAGGCGCTGAATGAAATAGTAAGTGAACAAAAACACAAAAGAACACATAACACAAAGAGTAGAGTTGCAAAGACATGAATATAAGGGGTATATGTGCTGAAGGTCATAATCTCATATGGCAAAGACTAAGTTACTAGAAAGGTAAAGATAACTCAAAAGTCACCTACTGTCTGAGTTATGGCCCGAAGTCAGCACAACAAAACGTCTAAAAAGAATCTGAAAAGAAACAAAGCCGACAAAACTTATAAAGAAAATCATTTACAAGCAAGATCATTAAGACGGATGAATTAACTAGACAGTTTACTTTTATGTGAATTACGCGCTCATGAAGTCATCCAGAACTACAATCAAACCACCCAGTCCATAAAACACAAAACAACCAAAATTCTGTTTCTATATCGACCAAATGTAGCAAACAACAAATAAGGAATTAGTTAACCACAGATAGTTTGTCGATTAAATCTAATGTGATAATATACATATCTGCTTAGTAGTTACGTTTTTCTCCGAGCAAATGTTTACATTTAGCGAATAAACATTCAATCAGTATATTGATAAACACTAAATAACCGATTAAATCTGAAAAATTTTGATACTTGGTGTAAAAGAGTTCAATTTTAATGAATCGATAAAAACCCGGTAGTACAAGGTTTGTCAAGCTGGAAAAAGCATACAATACCGTTTCCAATGACCTAAAAACGTTTGCTTTGTCGAAAGACAATTTTGTGACAATGCTTGGCCTTGAAAGGGATACTGCTTAGTACTAAGAAATAATGAAACCGTATTGTGAACACGTTAAATAAAAGCCTGAAGATGTTTCATACCTATAGAAAATGCAAGACACCTTTAGTTTGAAGACAATTAGTGAAGTAGTTTAGAATGTCAACTACTTTACTTGATTAAACAATTTTATTACTCCCAATATGCACCGATGAAATCTAGACAACTGTGCAAAACCTTCGTTTAAGTACATATTAAACTACATCAACTACGGAACAAACGATAAATCCAGATATCTATCAAGTATGCAACACTTGATTAGTCAACTCCGTTAGAGTTGACTCACGTCACCTATGACGAAGGCGAGATATCCGTCTATCAATTAAAGGACGAGTATATTGCGCAGCAGTTCGTTCTGTTTTACTTTACAGCTGTGAAACGTGGCCATTAAGAGTAGAAGATACTCGTAAGTTACTAGTATTTGATCACAGATGCCTTAGATATATAGCTCACATCTGCTGGGATCACCAGGTAAATAATAGTGAGGTTAGACGCAGGATATTAGGTAATGATGTTAAATCAGTCGATGAGGTTATAAATCTTCATCGACTTAGATGATTTGGCCCGTGCTACGTATGCCTGAACACTGACTACCAAGACGCTCAATGCTGACTATTGTTGAAGACGGCTGGAAGTTAGGGACGGCCAAATCAAAACGTGGCATCAGTCATTGAAATCATTAACTTCTGGTTTGAGCCATGTTGGTAGATGCAGACTACTTGGTTGGGGTCCGCGTGATTATCGCAACCAATGGTTAGAGACTGGGTGACATGTCTCAGAATCGGTCACAATGGCATAAGTGTATACACTCTTTGTCTTCCCTTAAACTAAGAGATTAAAATCACTTCATATCTTTCTTTCTACGAACTAATTGTTTCTTCCTGTACTATATCCCTATATGCAATCTTTCGTTTATATATTACCACCATTGACTTAACCACTCCTATGAATTCGGTGTTCATCTTGCTGTGCTAATGAGGTATGTCAACGTGGACCGATACACATATGTGCCTGGTCTTACGTTGTAGCTGACTGACTGACAACTCCGTTAGAAAAATCGTGTCCAGTAGATACAGAAAAAATAAATCAATTATATTTAGTGACTTTATTTTTTAATCATTTAGAACACAAAATTTCCTTTCTTGACAATAATGACCATACTGTTTCACAAGAAGAATAGGCGTTAAAAATGTAAAAACATAAATCTACAACTCTACTCAGCAGCTAAACCGATAACGCCACAAGCTAGACGGCCACCAGCATTACCAGTTACTTTACTGAGCTCATGTCCACCACGGCCTAAATCATCTTCATTTTCATGAATCTAAATTAAAGATACAAAATACTTACATAAATACCAATGAACTATAAAAGAGATTTCAACTTATAGCATTCTATGGTACTGAAGTACCCAATAACATAGAAATGAACAAATAAGTTTAACAAACACTTGTATTCGGTCTAGAGTAATAAGGGTTAAAAATATTACTAATTATCTGTTTAAAATTTTGTAGATGGTTATGTTTAAAAATTAGACTACTTCAGCAATGGATAAAATGGAACCATCGATAATATTCCTCATATTACAGTTGAAAATTCACTGACATGATAGCCTACAAAACGTTTTTTTGTTGAGAAACCTAATGATGTCATGGTCAGTTAGTCAGTAACAACATAGAACTTCGTACGTACGTACATCAGTTCGAGTTGCGATACCACATTAGCACAGAGATGCAGTTGTCGATTCAAATCCCGTAGTGGTAAAGGTAGTAAGAGTATAAGCAGTAATCAGAAAGATTAGAGTTTGAAGATGTTATTTAAAGAGTATAATCCAGTGAAATAAATTTGGAAAGAGAAAAAAAGACATGAAGGATTCAGAAAATTAGAATTTGGGAGAACACAAAGAGTGGATACACCTGCGCCATTGAGGTCATGGGTCAAAATATTATGATTTGAATAAGTTAAGAATTTCAGAAAAGCGGAAACTTAAATTTAGATATGTAGTAAAAAACGAATAGAGTGAAACATCTCTTCACAATTAGTTTCCTACCATGGCTCTAGACTAACATGAGGAGTTGTTTAGTGGTTAAGACATTCTACTTTCGATCACCGCTATGTTTGAAGAGATTAAGAGTTCACCTAAATCTGAGGACGGAACGAAGACTCAGAGATACAATGACCAAAGAAGTTAACTATTACGATGAGTCCCAGTTCCGCTAACTAGAGAGAAGTTCAGACTCAGAAAAGCGAAAATGGATTCCACAAGCAGCCAGAAGCACGAACAAAAACAGGCACAACTCAGAATAAAAATGTCCTTGGGAAACGTTACAAAATAACATATTGAGAGAGACAACGAACCAATGACATTTAAGGTCCTCCCAAGTGGGAAATACGATATAAAGGAGAAAATGGGTGCTTTTGGCGTGAAAACAAGAAATTGAAATTTCCAAAATAAAATTACAAAAATGAGACACTTATCAAGTAACTTCTGGGGATCTCAGTCAGTCATCTACAACGTAAGACCAGGCACATATGTGTATCGGTCCACGCTGACATACCACATCAGCACAACAAGATGAACACCGGATTCACATGAGTGGTTAGGCCAAAGTGGTAATATATAAGAGAAAGATTGAATATAGAGATATAGTACAAGAAGAAAGAATTGGTTGGTAGAAAGAAAGATATGAAGTGATTTTACTCTCCTAGTTTAAGGGAAGACAAAGAGTGTATACACCGACGCCATTGTGATCGATTCTGAGACATGTCACCAAGAGTCTCCAACCATTGGCTACGATAATCACGCGGACCCCAACCAAGTAGTCTGCATCTACCAACATGGCTCAAACCAGAAGTTAATGATTTCAATGACTGATGCCACGTTTTGATTTGCTCCCCTAACTTTCTTACAACCATCCCCAACACCAGATAGTATTTTGCGTCGTGGTAATCGGTGTTCAGGTATACGCAACACGTGGTCCAACCATTTCAGTCGATGAAGATTTATAACCTCATCGACTAATTTACCATCATTTCCTAATACCCTGCGTCTAACCTCACTATTACTTACCCGGTGATCCCAGCAGATGCCAGTAATATTTCTAAGGCACCTGTGGTCAAATACTAATAGCTTACGAGTGTCTTCTACTCTTAATGGCCACGTTTCACAGCTGTAAATTAAAACAGAACGGACTGCCGCGCAGTATTCTCGTCCTTTTATTGATAGACGGATACCTCGCCTTCGCCACAGGTGACGTAGGTTGGCAAAAGCCAAACGAGCTTTTCGAATCCGTGCAGAGATTTCGTCAGACACCAACCCATTAGGGCTAATCAGACTTCCAAGATAAGTGAAGTTGTCAACGCGTTCAACTACTTCACTCCCTATCCTTAGTTCAGGTGTTGACCCAGACCAGTCCTGAAGCAACAACTTGCATTTAGAGGGATAGAAGCGCATTCAAAACATCCTGGCATTGTTGCTCAGTGCTACCAGAAGACTCTGCATTTGTCAGCGTCTTCACCAAACAGGACTATGTCATCTGCGTATTCTAAGTCGATAAGTGGACCTCCTGGATGGAGATCAATACCCGAGAACTCAGTCGACGAGAAAGTTATTTCCATCAGTAGATCTATGATGAAGTTAAACAAAAATGGATAAAATGGACATCCTTGACGGACACCACTTGAGATTGCAAAAGCAGATGACAGTTCGCCATATGCTCCGACTCGACTGGTAGTGTTCGAGTAAAGAGCCTTCAGAATGTTTATGTACTTCTGAGGTACGCCTTTCAATGGCAGACACTGCCACAAAATCTCGCGGTCTACCGAGTCAAATGCTGCTTTTAAGTCGAGAAAGACCACCATTGTCGCACACCGATAAGTATGCCTGTGTTCTAGAATCTGACGAATTTTATTTTATTTTATTTTAACACATAGACATTGGTACAAGGAGGCACCAAATACATATGCGCCACACAAATCTCATTCGATATGTGTGAGAGCTGCCCTTCCTCGTTTCAGATTAACTATAGCCTTTTGAACTTCAGCTAGAGTTGGGGGACCTACTTCAATGTTCCATTCACGCTGTCTGGGAATGGAGGGTAGTTGTAGAGTAACTGAAGGCCAGCTGAACTGTTCTCTGAAATGTTCCGCCCATCGTTCTAAACGTCTGGACTGGGAGCAGATGAGAGTATCGCCTTTTTCCGATATAATCTCACTTACACTTGACTTATTAATTCCAGTTTCTTTTATTAGTCTGTAAAGCTGTCTTGTGTTCCCTATAGTCGCCGCCTTTTCCATCTCTTTCGCTTTCGTTGCCCAACACTGCTCACGGTCGTTTCTTAGACTTTTTCTTAACCTAGATCTGATTTGTTGTCGCTCTTCATCATGTTCGGAACCTGATGGGACGAGTTTGTGAGAATCCATCAATGTGATAGACTTTGAAGAAATCCAATGGTTTTTTGTAACTCTGTGGTTTAAGTCGCTAAAAGATGTCACTGCTGTTTCCACAGCTGATTGTATGTCTTTCCAAGCAACATCTGGGTCAGCCTCGTCTTCAGAATTACCTAAGTGTGAACTCAGTTGTTCTTGGAACCTACTTTTGGTTTCCTCGTTACTCAACTCAGTTAAAATGGGTCTTTTTAATGTGGCTTTTTTGCGTCCGGTGAGGCGCAAGCAGATGCGTGCCCGTATTAGGGCAGGGTCGGAGTCCAAGCAGATACTCCAGAATGAGCGACAATCTTCTACCGACCCTCTCCAACGATGACTGGTGGCAATATGGTCTACTTCAGTCCATCGTTGGTTTGGTGTAGAGGGTCGCCATGTTAGACGATGTCTTTCCTTATGCTTAAAATTTGTGTTTGCTAAAAACAAACGATTGTCTGAGCATAGTTGCAGCAGACGATCACCATTATCTGTTCGCTGTGCCGGTATACTAAAATACCCACCTAAATGCCTTTCTGTTTGGTTTAAACTACCTATCTGGGCATTAAAGTCACCTGCTACGAGTACTATGTCTGAACGTTTAGCTTTCTGAAGAAGTTCAGAAAGCTTTCTGTAAAATTCATCTTTCACATCATCTGAGCTGCAGTCAGTGGGAGCGTAGGCAGAAACAACAAAAAGGCAACGACGTGTGTCCCTATCCTTCCGAGTTTTTACAGAGCCGTTTAGCCGAACAGCACATAGACGACTGTTGACGGGGATCCACTCTAGCAGTGCTTGTTCCGCCCTCATGCTTAGTGCTATGCCTACACCTGCCAGTCCACGAGAACTGGCCATCGGGTCACCACATACACGTAGGGTGTATCTCGTTGGCTCACCGTTTTGCCGAGGTGAGGTCAAGTGAATGACCACACTGGAATCCTGTATGCGTGTTTCGGTGACACAGCATACATCAATGGAAAGAGACTCTAGGGTTTTAGCCAAGGAAGCCTGCTGACCGATTCGACATAGAGTGCGTACGTTGAAAGCTCCAATGTGTAGTTTGGAGCGAGGTTTCAGTAGACCTGAGACAGAGTTTTGAGCACTAGAATCGTTGGCTATGGTGACACTTGAGGAGGAAGCCGAAGGAGGAAGTTTAGGGTTGAAAGTCAATGTAGGAGGAATAATAGGAATTGAACAGGAAGGTTGATTATGAATACAGTGGTCTTGGGTGCTGTTAGAGGTATGAGGGCGGTTATCACTTCCTGGTTGCCCACACCGTGGAAGGGTTCTTCTGGAGGTACCTGAAAAGGACCTGAGAGCGTTACCACAGTGCCCAAGGGACAACTGCTTGAGGCCGGTCGCGCACGGCCTTTTTGTGGGAGGTTTTTGACGTGTTAGCTCCGTTCTTCGAAGGGCCTTACCGCCGGAGACGGAAATCCGTGAGGTAAGGTGAGGTGTGCATTTTTAGGGTCGACCTCTTCTAACCCCACCCCTCCTTGTGGGAAGGCAGCATCACTGTCATGCTGGTTGTCTGAAGGAAACAACTTACTGCTGCCACACCTCTGTACAGTCAGCAGTACGACTTCGCCTTCGGACCTTGGGTTTGTTGCTTTTAGTCTTACCGCTCTTCAACCGACCTGTCTGACATGGTAGGACCTTGAGGAACGGTTGTTCCCGCCAGAATAGCTCGGTTGCTTCATCACGATAGGCAAGCCCGACCACCACGTCAAGGTAGCAACAACGGTCTGAACAATATAACAATGTAATGCAAACTATTATGTCAAAAATTCAATTTCAGAAGTAACATGACCACTAAACATGACTCGTTTGCTTGCTGTTATAACAGAACAACGGACCTGCCCCCGTGGCTGAACTTGGGATTGCTACATGGTAGTAAATGTAACTGGTACCATCCCAGCGTACTTACCAAGGGGAATTTAAATCACGTGATCTCTAAGACATGTAAAAGCGATTAGAGCAATACAGAACAAGGCATTGCAGAATGAAAGGGAGGCTAAGTAGAAGTGTTGACTCGGTGCATCGTTTTTAAAATGTTAGGCTGGTGGTTTCATACCAAGTAACTCAGTGAGTGAACAAAACTCTATGACCAAAGCACTTTCGGGACATTTGAGAGATTGGAATAACTCGACAACACCACATTGTGCTCTTACACACTAAGAGTAGTGACAAAATGAGTGTTATTAACTCAATAATCAGCGCGATTTAATAAAAGCTCTGAAAAGAATGAACAGTATTTATCGGAAGACGTTAGCAGTTACTACGACAGATAAATAATTATTCGAATTACCTCAGCAATGTTAGTGTTCCATCACATCCTGGTCTAGGACAGGGAAAGGAATCATCTGTTGCACTTCCGAATGACCGATAACAAGCAGGGCGTATGCATGCTTCACTATTGCATTTGTATATCTTAGCATTAGCATATCCCAGCTTTATTGTGATGTTTCTGATCAACTCATTTTTGTGCCTAATGGTATGCGCTGTGGAAATTGCACGCACAACTGTTGTCTTCCCGTGGGCGACATGGCCTATAGTACCGATGTTTATGATAGCCTGACGACTGATGACCTCCGGTGATAAGGCAATTAGTTTTGAAACGTCCTAGAAAAATTTCCGTCAAATATTGAGATATTCCACTAACCAGATCTTCTACATTCTGCACAGCCAAACCACGTTTGTCTGGCATCACGACTGTCTGGGGATCTAGCCATCTCCAAAAATCACAAAGTCCCGTGTTCAAACCCCGCCTCAATTACTTGGGCTAGCAAGAGGTACCGTTAGCCCTCACAACTAGTATGGCCCACACCCAATTACCTGGTGAATGAGTTTATTTATTCGAGCAGTAATATGTATAAACTTAACAATAATAGTAAAATATACCAGTTAAGTGGTAGCATGTTAGATTATTTTACTCACTATTTAGATGAGTGAATGCAATTTTCATCGATAGATGATATGCGCTGATACAATACGGCCAAGTGATAACCATTAATAAAATCAAATTACTGACACAAGTGTCCAAAGAACTAATATCAGAAGATATAACGGCTGCCAATCGGAATAGGATTTTTCTAATAAAATGACATTTCCACATACAGACGCCAGTCAAATTTATACATAAATGAGTGTATTTTGGTTAGAGTGGTTATCACATTTGTGAAGGGTGAATAAAATTTTCATTTGCTGTTAGCCTTTGTAGTCATCATGGTATCGTATAAACTTCAGTGTTTTCCTGTTTTAAGTAGCTATTTATTGCGGTTATAACAAGTGGAGACGGGGATAATTTGGAACATGTCATTTTGAATCGATGAAGTCAAGTCATAGATACCTCAACAGAAACACTTTGAAAACACACAGTTGCCACTATTTGAAGCGACAGGCACCAAACTTTCTGTCATTAGTGAATGATTCTCCAAATAGAGCTGATATTGTTGATATAAGTAGTTGGTGTTATTTTTTATCCCGAAACTGGGATCACCTTCAACGTTTGATGCAGCAGATATGAACTAAGGATAGGGAATGAAGTAGTCGAACACGTTGATAACTTCATTTATCTTTGAAGTCTGATCATAATGGCTTGGTTTTTGACCAAATCACTGCATGGATTCAAAAAAGTCGTTTGACTTTTGTCAACTTAGGTCACCTATGACGAAGGCGAGATATCCGTCTATCAATTAAAGGACGAGTATATTGCGCAGCAGTTCGTTCTGTTTTACTTTACAGCTGTGAAACGTGGCCATTAAGAGTAGAAGATACTCGTAAGTTACTAGTATTTGATCACAGATGCCTTAGATATATAGCTCACATCTGCTGGGATCACCAGGTAAATAATAGTGAGGTTAGACGCAGGATATTAGGTAATGATGTTAAATCAGTCGATGAGGTTATAAATCTTCATCGACTTAGATGATTTGGCCCGTGCTACGTATGCCTGAACACTGACTACCAAGACGCTCAATGCTGACTATTGTTGAAGACGGCTGGAAGTTAGGGACGGCCAAATCAAAACGTGGCATCAGTCATTGAAATCATTAACTTCTGGTTTGAGCCATGTTGGTAGATGCAGACTACTTGGTTGGAGTCCGCGTGATTATCGCAACCAATGGTTAGAGACTGGGTGACATGTCTCAGAATCGGTCACAATGGCATAAGTGTATACACTCTTTGTCTTCCCTTAAACTAAGAGATTAAAATCACTTCATATCTTTCTTTCTACGAACTAATTGTTTCTTCCTGTACTATATCCCTATATGCAATCTTTCGTTTATATATTACCACCATTGACTTAACCACTCCTATGAATTCGGTGTTCATCTTGCTGTGCTAATGAGGTATGTCAACGTGGACCGATGCACATATGTGCCTGGTCTTACGTTGTAGCTGATTGACTGCAGTAGATTTGAAGACTCGTTTATAACTGGATTAACTGGTCTAAACAGTGGTATAAGAGCTCTAATTCACCATAAAAAGTTGGGGATAAGTAAACAAGCTACGTATACGAAGTTCATTTTGCTGAAAATATCTAGATATCAATTTTTAGAAAGCGGTAGTCACTAGGCAGCGTTCATTAGTTTCATAAATTCATCTGAGGAATGGAATGATGATTTCCTCACATATACCGGCATCATTAATTGCGCATGTGAACATTCTAATCTTGGGTCGCTAAACCAAGATCGACTTAAGGGTTAAATATTTGCTTGTGAACTGCAGTCCCCGTCACTCATTAAACTTGATATCTCTAGGCGTCTTTAGAAAACTTGGAAATTCGTATCTGAAAGTTAAACGGCTTAACCGCAACTATTCTGCTGAGTATAAACGATGAAGTTTTATAATAAGTTCCATTGTTCACAATAAAAATATTCCTTCCAAATAGCAGTTAACACTCATACATGATGAGACTTCCCTACAAATCAATTCATCTACATCGAGTAAGTCTAACGACTGGAATAGATCGAGACATTTCCTATTTATATGAGAATTGGAATTTTGTGACCAACTTTACTAGCTGTTCAGTGTTGAGGAATTAAAACCAATAGTATACAATAACTACGACACTGAATACCAATACTTACGACCATAGTTCGACCAATTATTGAATGAGAGCCGTTCAAAGATATCAATTTGTCAGTCGCGTTATAAACTGCGTTTCCATCAACACCCGCCACAACATTTCCCAGGTCACCAACATGACGAATGCTATCTTCTGGTGCTCCATGCTCTTGTTTAGTTGGATTGAAATGAGCTCCAGCTGAAATACATCCATTTGTTGTATCACCAAATTCATGAACATGAAAGCCATGTTTACCAGCCTTGAGTCCACTAAATTCGGCGTGCACATTAACAGGTCCATTGTCAGTCTGAAAGTGTAAAAGAAATGTTTGGCAGTAAATCTTTCAAAAATGCAAGACGACACAATAAACTTCAAGTACGGACAAAACATTTTCCATAAGTTATTATACCAAATCAATTTTACTATGCTCTTTAAAACAATTAGTGGAAAAAATTTAAGATGGTGTATGACTACTAACTTTAAATGTGAGCCCCATAAACGTTTGGTTTATCGAAAAATCACAAGGCAATAACCCTTTAATCAACAAGATTACATCAAAAACTTATCTCTGTATCTTTAAATCAGTACCAACATCAGTAAATAAGCCTTAATAATCTTGAACATCAAAATCAGTTTTGTGGAAAACCCGATGAACTAAAACTGACCAGGTCTATACAGTGGGAAACCTTGGTATTAGTAAAAAATGGAAGTTATATGAAGAAAATGGTTGAGTATCCTCTGGCTGAACACTTCAAGGCTGATGAAAGCAAAGTAGGTTAGTATATGTAGCTTCAGATTTTAATGAACAGGAAGGTTTTGTACATCACAACCTTAATGACTTAGATATACAAGTTATGAGTGTTAAAGAATTTGAAATAGATGTAATGACGGTGAATATCAACCCCAACAGCCCTTTTTAACTCATATGATCATAACTATACTTTCATTTCTTTATAATACTTTTGATGTATCGTTGTTACGTCATAGGTTTGCCAAATTGGTGAGAGGAAATAACTAGATATCATATTACTTCTAGAACAAAATCTGAATTAGTTCTATTACTATTTAATTACGATTCACCTAAATAGCACTCGAAAGTTTAATCAACTTTTAAATGACCCGGAGAAATGAAGACTGATTCTTGGTTAACTATAATAAGATTGTGTAAGAATGGATAGGTAAAAATAAATTAACAAGCATATGCAATTTACAAATCACTAATGAATTCCATATTCACAAGTCAATCTCTCTTGAAATCACGGTATTTTGATAAAGAAATTTACCAATATAATAGAAAATAATTTTATCTATTGTATTTTAGTGCAGTAGTTTTTCAAATACCCCCAAGCTTTATTTATGTTGCTAATATGAGCTTTATTCAGGAAATTTACGAGATGTGATGGACAGACAACTGGATGCTGGTATCCCTTAATTTCAGGGCATCTGTAAGCTTACCAGGCCTTAGTACATATGGTGGTACCTGAATAAACCTATTCTCTAACTGCAGAAATAAAAGTCTTCTACTTTTTGGAATCCCGATATCAAACCCCATAAACTTACTACAGTTTAAATTACTTTCCAGCTCATTTTCAGTACTTTTTCATACTCTCTATTCGTTATACCACTGTACTGCCGTAACATAAGTGGCACTTACCGGCGCTGCAATACTAAGTGCAGAACTGCTAGCTATCCAATGCATTAGTAACAAGATTAAGTGCTTAAAAGGCGGGTTGCAAATCTGTCAGTAAGATAAGTGACAACAGAATACTAACCCGTCACGTATATTTCCAGTGTCACTGAAACTTTGCAGTTACAACACATGGTTTTTCAAAGACTTTCAATGATTCAGAAATACTCAATAATTATATCCTCATGAAAATCGCTCACTGAATGATCTACAGTAAGGATTCTGTCAGTTATGAGACGGGCGAGTTGGTTTGACTATAACCCTAAAACAAGAGTCTCGATGCTTGAAGGTCCTCCGCTTTAGATAGAAACGAGAACGCTATTACCATTCAACCAAACAATCAACACTTTTACATATTCCTTCACAAGTATTGAAAAATCACCCAATGGATAATACTATCCAGTATTTACGAAAAAACGGAGAAACAGAAGTAAGCTTGAGGTGAGCGTATGTAACACATTAAAAAAAATCCGGTGTGAATTTGTGTGGCATGGCATCTGGAGGTTGACATTTTTGTTTTTCACAGCAAAATAGTGACATGTTTTGTCTTTTGTAAGAACTGTCTTGAAGTTCACGGTCCAGAAGTTCTAAGCACTATTAACCATATCTGCTTCACAGCAATCACTCATTTCAGTGTTGAAAAAAAACAGAACTTGACGTAAATACAACAATTTCTCATTAGAAAGTGGTCATTCCTGAAATGGCCAGTAGTAAAATAAACATTTCAGCTAAGTAACGGCTTGCAACTAACTTACTTCCTGAGTGAATTTGACAACGCCTTTTACGCCAGCTGTACCAGTCATAACACAAACAGCTTTCATCTTGATATGGCTTTGAAATAAATGAGTTTACACCACACCACTTTCAAAGACTACCGCGTTTTCTTCCACGACCTTGAAAGGCCAAATTAATAGTTTCAGACTCGAAAGAACATGAAATTGGGTGACCTGTGCCAATCTTAGGCGCTGATGCTCTCTCAGCTAACCCAACATATTTTTTAAAGCGCACACTGATGGAGCTTCAACCAAATGAGTTCTATGCGTTGACGAGTTGATAGTCAAATGACAATTAATGTGTTCCGGGCTTGTGAACATTTTTAGAATATACTCGTGAATTCCCTGTTTTGGAAAATAAGAAAACTGAGGGCATATCCGATGCAGACTTATTATTAAGTAATTTAAAGTTGCTGTATGACTAGTGAAATGTCACTAGGCCCTAGTCAAATCAATCGGCAGTTGAGTGACTGAATGTCGAACAGTTCACCAATCCTCGTCAAGTTCAAAGACAGCTAATGCGCATCAATCAGTCGAACGCCATAGACCGTCCAATGTGATGATGGTCTTACTCTACCTCTTCTACGTACTCTTACCAATATATTTATGTAATAATGTCCATTGTTTTATACCGTTTTCAAAGCAGCCACAGTACCTTGATACGATGAAAGGGTAATCCACATTAGGTGCTGACCGCGAAGTGCTATTTCAAAGTTGGCTATTTTTCAAATCATTCTCGTCTAACTTAAGTGGGCCTCCAATCATTAGACACAGGTCATCTATGTTAATGATCTAAACTGTGACTAAGTCACCGCTAGTTGCTCAATAATAATAGTAGAAATAGGTTTAGCTTGCCCAGTCGATCATCATACGAGAGTTTTGCAATTCCGGTAATCAGCTTAGTTGCGGTTCTCTGATCCTTTCCCAACAGCCAACCGTCCCTTTTTGGACAGGAGCTGGCCGATTGTGTGAAACGCTCCACTATAAGATGAGCAAATACTGTATACAAAGTTGAAGCTGTTATTGCATATAAATGGATAAAAGCTGTCCGTATTGACCGAAAGATTCTGGAACCTTTGACGACTATCTCACGGCAACGTTTAGTAGTTTTTTTTAATTTTAACTAACAATGAGTCTCAAGTCTTTGTGTTTCAAGAAAACGGGTAGCTCACCGTTATTCACCGTGTGTGTATCTGTACCACGGTGACCGGTATGCATCATAATATACTTGGAAGCATTCATCGGGAACTGCCAGGTTCTAGACCACCCAGATAGTATCTCCAGGTCATTTTCAAGCTCCGAACTATCACCTTTACTTCTTATAACCCTCCATATCTTGACTTCGTCAGCACATAGAAAAATCAATTATAGGAGACTAGGAAGATCATTTACACTCAATAGGATCAACACTGTCTCCAAAGCTCTACCCTGAGACACTCCGGTAAGCACAGTTTACCAAATAGATAAATTTGAATTCACCGCACTCTTTGTTGACTTATAACTACAAAATCTTTTATCCACGTTAATAAATAGCCTCTAACCCTGATATTACTTGACCTATATAGCGGTTTGTTTTGAGGAAATTTGTCAAAAGCCTCGCTCAAGTCAACGAAGGCTACATCTACAGGTAACTTTTGACATTTATGAGTGCACCAAATTTCACGGGCCACTAATAAGTTTGTGAGACATCAATAACATTTTCGTAAGCCCTGTTGCTTTTCAGAAGGAATACGGTATTCTTCTAGATACTTAAACAACTTCCGAACCCGCTTTTCTAAATTTTTAATAACCACCCTATTTAGGCCTACGTGTAGATAGTTCTCAGGTTTACGCCTCGTACCTGCTATAGAGATAAGACTTACCAAGCGTTATTTTGGTCTTTTGGTAATTCAACCTTGGTTACAGACAGATTAATACATATGCTTAAGGGGTTTGAGGCAGAATTCATCAACGCCTTTAGTAACCTAGAATACATTCATCGGTTCCCATGGATTTATCTATATCAGTGTTATTTAGCAGACCAAAAATGCCGAGTTCTCTGGTGATTACAGTATCCAGTATGTGTGTGTATGAAGTGAGTGGCAAGGCACCTCTACGGTATTACTGCCTACGCATAATTCTGAGACAATGGCTCTCCTCTTAGTCCTTCGGTTTATGTACGAGTAGATTTTAGGGTATTCTATAGACTCCTTAACAAACTTTTCTTTATACGATCTTCTACACTTGCGGAAGGTTGAAACACAAATATTTTGAGCTTCCCGATGTGAAGATTTTGTCCCGTCTGTCATACATTTTCCTCCTCTTACAGGTGAGGGTGCAAAACTCCTTAATAAACCACGGAGAGGAGTTTTTCGGACTCCTTGGTGTAGTCCAAAGGATGTGCAGTGTAGTTCATTTTGTGTGCAAATTTCCGAATACATCGCAAGATGTTTCAGTGGGAATCCTGATTCTACTGTCTAATCTGCTAACGGTATTGAACACATAGCTTCCTCTATATTTGCCTTCCAGTCGTTTGGTCTGGCTTGGGCTGATAAACAGTTGTTGACAACAACAAGAATGTGAAGGATTAGGATCACAATCACCCTTAACCTAGGATAACACGTAACGGAAGTTTTTAACTCCGTCCTTATGGTGCGTCAATGTGAGATCTTTTGAGAATGATTCAGTCTTTGTAGTATCTAGCTGCTTATTTCATATGTTGCACTAGGGCATATGTAATGACTGCATCAACTAGTTCTTGTTTGAAAGAATTCTTCGACAACTCAGTCCTCAGATTTTTCCAGTCTATAGTGGCTGCATTAAAGTCTCTTAACAACAACTTGGTGATTAAGCATCGAACTCGTCTAGCAAGACCTCATTCACCTCACAGTTTTAACTTTGGTTGACCAAAATAATCAGCAGCTCGTGTCCTTTGAATTTCAAGCGGCAACTAACAAATTCGCACGTCCCATTTCCATGTGATTTGTTATCGATAACGGTAAAAAAATATATAGCACTTCTAATGAACAGTGCTACTCATCATTTACGCTTATGAGTTCTGCCGGCACTAACTAACATGAGGGTCCAATATTATGATCCCTGTAGGTTGGGTCAGCAAAGTCTCTGTTATGGCGATTACATCCATCTTGCTAGAGTCCATATATATACCTAGCTCCGACAGCTTGTGGAGTAAAATCCGTATTTTGTGTAGTAGACCGAAAGCCTAATCCAATGGCTTCGTGCCGTACCGAAACTGGCTTCAGCATCAGTATCTGCCAAAGCGTCACAACCTGAAAATTTGCAATTCTAAGTTCCTTCTCGACAACATTTAACCCTAGCTCTGCTTTCTTCTTAGCTTCGCATCCTTTTTATAGGGGTTGCGAGTGGGAGAATGTAACAGGTAGAAAACGCTGATCAATTTAGTTTACGTCCATACTTTAATATGAAGCGCTATTCACTGGAAGATTAAAAACAATTTTATAGGCCTCATTTGATTTTCCTTAAGGGCGGTCTAGCTAACTTCTCTTGAAACATAAATGAAGATGATGCCGAAATAACTCGACACATTGACTACTACAAAACGTATTTTGCCAACCTAATCATATGCACAAACCGAGTTCTCACCTTTCATTCTCAAATCTTCTATCAGTAAAAAATATTCTAAGTTAGGGACATCATTTCATTATATAAAAATATTTAGGAGATTGAAAATCCTTCAAAAGTAAAAATAAAATTAACTCAGAAAAGAGTATGAAAATACGCCTTTTTAAATTGAAAAGGAAAAACAAACTATCGCAATAAAATCAGCAGACAAAAATAAAATTCCAAAATCAAGGAACTAAGCAACCAATAATGCAACACAAAATCACAAAAATTTAACATTAAACTAATTTACTCATTAACGTTCTACACGCACACTTACACTATCACCACACACACCGTCTGTCTCCCAGCTGAACAACACACTATACATCATCAATCAATCCAGCTCGAACAGCTCGAACGAAAACCACACATATCACTACAATCACTCACCTAATTCCATCAGCATGTCAACAAGCTCATCAGCACACCTCACGCTCAACAGAACACATCTCAGAAATACCTCCCACAATCACTCACAAATATAACCAAACTACACACCCCACACCACACCACCACACACACACACACACAAACAAACACGCCAATAGAATAATCAATACCATTGACAAACAAAGTGAAACACTGAAAGTTACAAACACAGAATAAATGGGTCGTCAACTACACTAACAAACAAACACCCCAACCAAATGATCCCAGTCCAACCATATTCAAAATCAACAAAACCAACAACACTATTGCCTACCATACAAACACAAACAGGCAAACAGATCAATAACAACAACTACACCACACACACACACACACAGACAATCAACTGATCATCAACAAACATACGACCAACATCACAGTACAAGTCATCCCTAAGCTATAAACAATCAACACAGTTCAACACACGTCCCAACACAAACCAATACTAGACATCATTCGTCACACTCACACTAAACACATCTACCTGGTGCTAAGTAAGAACCAGTACAATCCTGGTTCACCGAAGAGACCAGAAAACATTTCCCCTTCGTCGTTGGCTTCCTGAAAACTAGACATCTCCAGGACGGATCAACAAGGGTTCTTACTCAAACACCAACAACAACAACACCATACGATACGATACACTGACAAACATGTAAACATCCACACCTCATTTAACAATCGAAACTCTAACTACACTAATCGCAATCCCATCACCAATATTACTTATTGGTTTGTTTGTAAATAAAGAAAAACTTTCACGCACACCAGTATATCGCTGCCCCGCCTTATCAATTCACTCATCCACCCACCTTCCCACAAAATCTCACAATTACCAACACACACTCAAGTGCATACATACTCCAAACACTCATTATTAACCCTCACAATGCAGTCCTAGCTCCAGTGAGAACACATCACTTCTCAGACACTAAACCACAACGGTGCTAAC